AGTAAATAATGAATTCTGATTGATGAGTAATCATGTTTCTAACATCTTATCACTGCAACTCAATTAATTAGTGTTACCTTGAGGCAAAAACACTTCTTGTAATTACGTTAAATTAAGTCAGTTTTTGGTTAAAAAGTGACACTAACGTGATACTTAACCATCTAGCTATTGTTGCTGGAAAGATTAGCATCCTAGCTTTCTGTTAAGAAGTTAACATTTCAGTAATGTTAGCTAATTTCTTTTAACTCAAAATGTACTTTAATTTAGTTTTACATACAAAAACGATCTGATAAAGTATTACTTTACTAGCCTTATAGATGTGTTTTGTAATGTAGCAAGACAGGAACATGATTAGCAAAAAATACTGGATGTGAAAAGGCGGGAAGTAAGCTAACCAGAAACAGTCCCTTCAGGAAGTTGTGATATTGCGATTACACAATTAACGCAAACTCAGTTACATTTTTTGGAACTGTTTTTTGCAATTGTCACTTTCTCCGACAATATCATTGTAAAAAAGAAGTTAAAAACAGGTCAACGTGCATTAAAAATGTTTTAGAAAAGCGAAATTAAATGTGAAATGAAATCCGCAAACACAACAAGCCTGTAAAATCCTGGAGGGACTGATTTCATACAGTGGGTGAGAATGTATTTATTATTGATTTATTATTGGGAATGTTATTTCTTGTATCTTTTACAGAAGATTGCTTGCCTGCAGACAAATTTAACACTAAAGAATCGAACAAATGTCTCGAACAGTATACTGCAGTATTTTGTGGGAAACTTCCCAAAAAAACTCTTTTACCAGCCTCAGAAATGAAGTTTTATTGAGAACTTTGTCTCACATTTTGTTGTCTTGGTCTTTCTCATCTTCACCTTTAGGGCGGGACACTGCTCTGCCAGCCACCGCGGCCCCTCAGAGACCGTCAACTACTAGACGTCCCCGGACTCAACCAGCGTGTTTACATCAGTGTACAGCCGTAATCCTTCTCAGAACTGGGGATATGCACTCATCCAGGCTTTTTTTTAAATATTTATATGTTCCAATATGTTTCTGATAATATCTAAATGTTTATATTCATTTACGCAGCATGTCGAGGGGGAATCACTGCTCCACTTCTTCATCATTTAGACTTTTATACTCGGTGGTTTTCAAAAAAGGGTGAAAAACCACTTAAAAATATGTGTTTTGTACTGTTTATGGACCAAAATCTTTCAGCCCTGAACTCAAAGCAACTGCAACGATTCACAATGAAAACATGTTGCTCTTTCTGCCAGTTACAGCCTCCACAAGTCTGATGTCTTCTTGGTGAAGTCAGGCCTTGAAACAATGTTTTAAAAATGATTAACACGCTTTAAAAATAGAGCTGCGCAACTGTTGAGGCCCAAAGCTTCCTCCCAGAATAGAAATGTAATTTTTTTTTTTGCCTGAAACAGAAACATCTGGTAACTTTGCGACTCTTCATCTGTTGTTTTATTGTGTCGTAACAGATAACAGACGGAGCGAGGGAGCAGCGTGAGCCTTCAAAAAAAGCTCCTGACCTTTTACGTCTCGTGTCGTGTTTGATAAGTTATCACTTGAATGTGTCTCCAGAGAGTCCAATCATTCCACTGATAATGTGCGACATGGAGACACGTGCTGCCCCTTTAAGGACCCAAAAAGAGAGTTTAGGTTTAGTTTATAATTCCTGCTTCTATTATAGCAAAAATGTATCTTAAACCCAAGAACTGGTTGAAAATGTGCAGCCATTACACACAAAAATTAACATTTCGTCTACTAAAATCATCCATTAGCAGGTGCCATTTCCTCTATATTTCGCTGAACCTCAATACCGGTGGCTTTTGAATTTCCTAAACTAGGCTAGCTATGGATTCTCAATCTTAAATAAGAAAAGGCATGGACACATATTCTAAGCTTAATCTACGGTGAGAAAATTAGCATGATAAGGCTCAAATACGTTCTTTTTTTGGCCAGAAATTGCTCTTTTGCTTAAAGATTGCTGATCCCTGAGCTAAATTATAACTTGTATATCAAAATCTATTGATAACCAGCAGGAATAGAGCAGCAGTACCACAAATTAGGCGTTGATCAGTCGTAACTGTACCCTTGAACGCCACTTTCAGTTTGCGACTCAACAATCACGTCGATCCAAACACACCGCACAGTGTCGACTTTAGATTTGTCAGTAATTGTCGAGTCGTTGGTATCAAACCAGCCTTAGAAACCCCCCAAATAACATGCTTGATTTCCCCTCAACAAAGCACCCAAACAATCATGTAAACTGTGCGATCAGCCGCCCCCGACTCCCCGACTCAAAGTGAAACCCAAACGGAGCAAAAAGGGCAAAGAGAAGGAGCAGAGGTTACAAAGTACTGACGCGATACTCGAGCATCCTGAACTGTTTTTATTTTGGTTTTTATTCTTCTCTGAAAAGTTGCATGAGCTTCATATTCATCACATTATTCATGATATATAGCGACGCATGCATACTGATTTTATTTATTTTATCCTTTGTTTAAAATAATGTACCAATTTCCAATTTCATTTTTAAATATATATAGATATTTGTTTATGATATTTTTAAATGGTTTGTTTTAGAATAATCAATCATCCCGACTGGACTGAACTTTATCCATCTACTCGCTCGATCTTAATTAACAAATATCCTTTTTTTTTCGCACATCCATCTCCTCAAATTAATAAGTGATCACAGACTTTGCTTCGACTCGCCTGCATCGTTTACTTCATGCACAGAAGAGCAGGTGGTTGCTGATATTTTCGTATACTTAGCATGTTTGAGAAATGTTTGAGCAGGATTGCACTTTTTTTAAAACCCAAATTATCTTTGTACTGTGTTCTGTCTACTGTATGTAATGTGTTACCTACATGTAGAAGGCTGGAGAGGGGGAAAAAGTGGAAATAAATCTTTGGGAAAAATTGAATTTCGTTGTCTTCTGTGACTGATTTTGTATTTTAATTTATGGTTTTAATAATAACTAATGGAGTCAGACGTTGTACACATTAATTCCTGCTTGTTAGACATAGTTTGGAGAATTAAGGGCAATAATAATCATCTGGAAGAAGTAGGAATAGTGTAGAAATAGGAATATATCTGGAACTATTCTATATATTGGTTCCTGCTGTGTATGTAAATCCTTAAACAGGTCACAAATATATAGTATGGTTTTAAAAAAAAAGGCTGAGAAATGTACTAAAACAACTAGGTATTGTAGTTTTTTGCAAACATGTGGACATAAGAAGGGAAAACACACATGCATTGTAAATAAAAAGCTGTTTATTTTACATAAATAAAAGGGGAATTAACTCAGGGAAGAGAGAGAGAAATCAAATCAATTTTATTTATATAGTTTAAAACAACCAGAGTATAAATTAAAGCACCAGCAGCAAATCAAAATACATTAAAATAGTAAAAACAGGCACATTAACAACAATATATGGCTGACTGACACCAGGTGAGTTGAATCACCATGACGACCCGACTGCAGGAAGACGTCGTTACAGGGACTACTTTCAGCTGCGGATGAATACACGTTTGTTTCTCTAGCGAGTATTAACAGCTATTTAAACATCGGTCCCTCCAGGAGTTCACGGAGTTCTGTTTAGGGGGGATGGTTGCTGCATGTTGTTGTGTTTTTAGGCTTTGTTTGCAATGAAATTGTGGGAGAAAGTGGAAATACAACCAGATTGCAGTTTTTAGAGCCAGACGCAGCAGTTTGCTCTCCACCGACTGCAAGACCCGCAAGGCATGATGGGAAACACATGGTTGCTGCCTGATCAAAAAGCCGATTGGCTCTTAGTTTTGACCACAAACACCAAATTCTCTCTGTGAATTTAATATTTAACTCTAGATTGTAGCTGTTTCATGTCTCACGTTGTGCAATGGAGATTAAATCTGTTAACAAACACATCTTGTGTGGTTGATAATAATTATAATAAAGTTTATTTATATATCCGAACATGGCCTAAAACCTACAGGTAGCGTAAAGATGATGTAAACATTTCTGTGACTTCCTGTTTATTCTTTAAAGGCTGCTGCCGCCTGATCTCGTCCACTTTACAGACGATGTGCAGTTAATCTCTAACGAGCCTAATGATCACTCAAATCTGGTTAAATTGTTAATAATTCACATTTATAGTGTTTATTCTATTCCCTAATTGTACAACTTCTGTCTCTTATGACCATTATGTTAATTGGAAATAGTAATTTGACAAAAAGGTGCATTTATAGTCCAGATCTTTGGAGTTTCTTCACCTGTCGTGGAAATCAGTGATAGGACTCGAGAACCGGTTCCAATATTGTCCGATCCATCGATCAATTCTTTTATCCGGCATCTGTTCAGTTGGACACCAAACTAGTTGGAAATTTTGTAGTGACACTACTGTTTCCCACACAGAAACTTGAGTATTCAATAAGTGAATCCATAAAAAAGAATTAGACCGATAAGCAGAATCAATAACGGTATCAATAAAGTGAAAGGTTGCTCTGTTGACGTGCATCAGATGTTATATCACCCATAGCACATTTTTTCTTCAAAACAACGCCTGGATTTGATCTTTTAATACCTTAATCCACTTTTATTGATCAGGTTTCTTTCGATTCCCTGTGCTGCGTCCTGGGAATGCCAGAGTCGGGAAACGTTAACACAAAAACTGCCTGGAAACAAGAAGCAGCTTACTCAGCAGATCCTGTTAAATCTGAATCTGAAACACATTTACTTATTTGACTGATTTAACACATCTGCGGCACTGTAAAATAAAACAGCGCTTTCTCATGACTCATGATTGATCCGAACTGAAATCTGTGTTCAAAGGTCCAACAGCTGTTGGCGTTCAGATGTTCACTGTTTCACAACCGACGGAGGCGAGCCAAGTGTGAGAGAGAGAGCTGGATCATATTGGACCGGTTTCGAGAAGAATAATTTAATAATTATTTCCACCTCACATGAAACCTACACGTTTCAGTTCGATTGTTTTAGATCTGTTAACTCTAAGACAAACAGGAAGGGAAGATAATGGAAACAACAAGATAAGAGGACAAGACGAGAGAGATTTTGATAGAACTAACTAGTTGTAATTTAAAGTATTTGCTTTGTTTTAATGAAGCGATATGTTAATAGTACTAAGACCTCAGTGAACCTTCAACAGTCTGGAGCCAGCAGGGATGTTGGACCTTGATTCTGGGAGGTGGGGGTGTAAATATTGGGGCATGGACAGGCATTAATGTCCCCATCAAACACTTTTTGGGACAAATCAGACCTTATCGCCCAACATCAGACCTCACTAATCAATGATCTTTTGGCTGAATGGGAGCAAATCCCTGCAGCCTGCTTCCTAAATGTCCTAGAAGAGTGGTTTCCAACATTTTTTACTGAAAGGACCCTTTTTCCTATCATTTAATAAACTGACTAAGAAACGTATATTATGGATATTTCATATTATATTCACAACTGTACAACGAACTGCAAGACGTTTGTGTTAAACGAGTAATTTGGATGCATTTTAAGCAGATAACTTCCTGTTAAGGGAACTTTTTATACAATTCTCTGTCTATATTATGTATTTTTCTTAATAATTTTCAACAATCATACATATCTTATCTGCTTTTTGTTTGATAAATTCAGTGTTTTCCTTCTCTCTGTCACTTTTCAGTTGTTAGATCAGACAATTTCCTTTTATTTTACATTTACTTCTCCGAATGCTGAGATTTTTTAAAGTTTTCTTACAGGCCTAAACAGTCCGCCATAGACTAGTCAGAAGAGACGCAATGCATCATTAAAAGGAGCTCGGTCTAGACCTGCTCTATTTCAAAAGTGTCCTGAGATAACTTCTGTTATGAATTGGCGCTATAGAAATAGAATTGAATTGAACTGAACTGAATTGTGGGGCAGGTGAGTATGCGCAGTAAGCTCACACTGTATACTAGTTGAAACACGCTACATACACTGTAAATCCCAACAATATATCTTAATAAAAGAAGTAAGCTGACACAACTTAATCCTCCTGAAGAGGTAATGTAATAAAAAAAATTATAGAAATGGAAGAAAATTCAATTTAAGTGGTAACATTTGTATAAAGAAAATGAATTAAAGTTACTTTATTCAGATAAAAAACACATTTTAGTTGCATATGAGTGTAATTTACTTAGTTTTAAGTTCAGTTAACTGAATAAAAATTGGTTCAATTAACTTAATTAACCCAAGTTACTTTAACAATAAATACTTGAGCTACTTCTACTCAAATTTAATATTTTTTTAATGCTTAAATTGTTGAGAATTTGAGTTTGAACTAACTCATCCAGTACTCAGTTTAACAAGTTATTCTGACCCAGTTACACTGCTGACGATGCCTGAAATCTACAGAATTTGGATGGATGGAGGCGAAATCGGTCGCTCTTATCACCCAATCGTCTTCAGAGTTAAAACGCAGCATGCCGAATCTTTCCTCACGGATCAATATGACCCCGCTGAGTGTTTACTGACCCAATGTCGACTTGGCTGTCTTCATCACCATCACCATCCATCACGCGTTGTCTGGCCCCCCCCCACACAGACATATTGGTGGTATTTTGGTATTTTTGGGAGCAACAAAGAGACACACACACAGGCGTTTGGTATTCTTTAAAGGGGGTTGCTGTTAGGATCACAGAGTTTTATCAACTCCATTATGAAACGCCTCAACCTTTCCTCTGCTTCCACAGTCTGTTTTGGGAACTTTCAGTTTTGTTATCTCTTATCTTCTGTCCACAGTTTGGGTTCACAACAAGTCTCTGCTAGAGCTGCTACAGATTTATTTATGTGGATGTTGGCAGATGTAGGTTTGTGAGGGACATCAAGTGTTTTATATTCATTTATTGCCCCCTTTGCCCGACACAAAGTAGGTTATTTTTAAGGGTTCCTGGCCTGACGCCTCCAGTTTTGCTCCTTCATTTCTTTTGTGGACCTTTTCTTTGCTTTTTTTTGTCTTAATATTTTGAGTCCTGCTTTTATACGGTGGCCCAGACGTGTCGAACAAACTACAAAAACCTTTAAAAGACAGTTAATATTTTTTATTTACTGTTTATATATATATAGAGTTGGGAGGGTTACTTTAAAATTTTAAATGTAATGTAAAGATATTTTAGTGTACCAGTTTAGCTGTAATATGAGACTCGCTTCAACAAGCTGTTATGGCGGCGACCATAACGCCAAACTCAAGGCTTCAAAACGGACCAACAGTGTTATAACTGAAACAGGAAATAGGACTCAAATGCTTGACTCAAGACACGAGAGCTCCGTAAAAACAAACACTTCTTTACCTGCAAAGTTCGGTACACAGAAATCGAAAAAAAAACACACAAAGGCAGGAAGTGAGTGGCGCTGAAGAGAGAAGAGAGAAGGAGATGTAAGTACAAAATAAAACAAGAGGTACACACAGATAATTAAAATTTCACAATAAAACAGACTAATGGGCGACGTCAAGATTAGAAATAATAAAAATAAACCATATATAATAATAAACATTAATATTCAGGAAATTAGCCCACATTCGACACCTCCGGGCCACCGTACTTTCAGATGTCTCCTTTTCAAGAAGCAGGCTGCTGACTTTGCCTTTTTGTGAGCTGCCACAAATCACAGATAAAAATATGTATTTATTTAAAAACACCTCAGAAGTCAACAGCACGAGCTGTACTCTGCAGTGTTTGGTCTGAAGGGCGAATGTGGTCAACTGCACAAAATGTTCCCAAGTTTTATGGAAGTGATTCGCTGCCACTGTGTCTGGTCCGAGGACCTCAAAATGTAGAATATAAACATGAGAGGGTAGAAGAATAATAGAATTAAGACGACAATATTCACCTTGATATCGTCCCCATCCGGTTCCTCCACAAGGCCAACCGGTCTGTGGATAATGTGACCTTTAAAATGATCACAAACAATAAATA